AAGTAGCCTACAGATTATTTGGTGGGGGGCGGTGAGGGACCTGGATAAAGGCTTGGGGGGCGCTGGCCCAAAAAAGGTTGAGAAACACTGGTCTAACCTGTTGGTTATGAGTTAAAATTCACCTTTGTTGTTTAGCCTTTTCTATTTTATTATTTCATTTTTACCAATAGTTTGGTAGTTGAGAGCCACAAGTTGGCATCCAGCATTCCAGAACAGCTGAGGCATAAAGTTTGACGAGTCCACTCTGGTTCCTTTTGGGTAAATACGACTCAACTGGGATTTATTATATCTTGTCGACACGACATTAAGGAAAACAACTAGAGAATAATTCTCTGGTATAGAGAAATCATGCATGAAATTGTCTTCGGGATATAGATACAAAAAATTACTTAAGGGCTTTGATTTATTTTTTAGAAGTAGATGTTAGTAATTATAAATGTTGAAATGAACTTATAACCTTTGAAGTTCCTCCTCTGCAAGCTGACATAAATACCCAAGCTCAAATAAAAAAAGAATGCTAAAGTTCCTCAGTGACTCATACAGATTTCTGACATTTGAAGTAAAAAAAGAAGCATTGAAAGAGGAAGAGGGAAAACAAAGTAAAGAACTGGTTCCCATGGCGTTCCGCAACTGCGGTATTGGTTGCTAAGGATACTCCACGAACTCCACTGGTGACTTTGTGAGGTGCTCCAAAGCTTTGGTCTCCACAAAAGACGACATGTGGTAACAGCGGGCTGCCTCTAGACACAGAAAAACACAGGAAGCAGCTCATTTCTTGGGCAATTATTTTGGTTACATCACTTCCCTCCTTCAGACATCGGTTTTAGGGAAAATGCCTCAGATGGTCTTATATCCTGATCCTGTCATTTAATAAAAAAGAATATTGAGGCAAAACATGTAGCTGAGTTAGAGACACAAAGATCCAACATTCAAACTGTGTTGCAGCAGATTCTGCATCTGTTGCTCTCTTACTCTTTGATGCTTCAAAGGAGTTGAACTTGGTCGGCTGGACGTAGTTTACCAGAGTTGACATCTCCTCCGTAGCAACAGCTTCTCGCTCTGCAGAGCCCTGAGACGAAGGCCAATAATCACAAGGTTAAACACTGAAATACGATCAAACATTCCTTAAAAACACATCTTCACAGCCAAATAATCATGCACATAGTTGGTTTTGAGAGAGTATGCTGCTCAACAACAGAGATGCAGAACAAATGCACGGGTTTGCTGTTGCACAGTAAAACAACAGCTGTTTCTTTTTGTTGTTTTTTGTAGTGGACATATGATAACAACCAAAAACAAACATCAAATGAGCACACAGCTGGATTGAGATGCAATTCAAGCCTAATAAAGAAACACGCCTTATCTTACTCTTTGTCAGAAAGTTAAGCTAAGAACCGGAGGTGTCATCCAGAACATGTTACTGTGGGATATAATCTCTGCTTCATGGATATTGAGCTGTTAGCATGTCATCATGACAGTCATGAGGCTGTCATACAGCAACAGTCTTCAGATTGAAGATATTTAATTTCCTTTTGGGATAAATAAAGTATCTCTGAAATGAATTCAAATATATTCAGTCTAATTGTGCTTTATGCTCATGGTTGTTCATTATGCTTTTGATTTTATGAAGTGTCATTCTTTGGACAAATTTCAGCTTTCTTTCTTAGTTTCTTTCTTCATAGATTTTATACTCACTGGCTCTGATGCTGCGACCCTCATGGATGTCTACAGATGAGACTGGACTCTCCATAACTGAAAATCTACAACGTCATTCTGTAAATACTGTAAAACCTAAACTCCCTTAACTAACGCAGTCTGCTCTGTCTCTTCTTGTAGACAGAATCACTGACCCTTCTCCAAATCAGTCTGTTAACCAGGAAAACACAAATGTTCTTTAAATTCTTCCCCCATCATGGAAATAGTCTTTGACACGTTCCTTCTTCTCCTAAACTCCACAATCATGTTCTCTGTGGGAAATGACAATTATTTCAAATTCAACAGTAATTGCTACTTTCAATAACTACTGCAGTCTCCAGATTCTTCAACCCCCTGGAAAGAAGTGCACACATTAGGAAATCACATAGTCTGAAGCAGACTTGATGGAACCAGTTAGGGGTTCATCGAATGCATGAGGCGTGTTTAAGATGTAACACCTAAAAACCTGGAGTGTTGATGGTTTAATAGTAAGTGAAGAAAATCAGCTCCCAACTGCAGTTGAAGCAGGAAGTTTACATACACAGGGTTTCCCTCAGTGCATTATAAGCTTGGCAAGCCACCAGGCTTTACTTGCCCCCAAGTCTTCTTTGTTTTTATTTAAATAGGTTATACACCAGTAACCCTGGACCGAATGTGTCTTTGCTACACTGCGCTACGCTGTACACTTTACCAGCAGAGCGCAATTGTTCCAGAAAGACTGGTTTATGGTTGATGCATTGAACAGGGTGCTTGTACCATCCCAGCTGTTTGGGGAAATACTGAAACAACTTCTATAAAGATCAGCCAGGAATTCAAAGCTCAGGTGATTTACCTTCCAAATGGACTATGACCCTAAGCATACAACCACAGTGGCTACAAAGTGGCTTAAGGAAAACAAAGTCAATGTTGTGGCCATCTTAAAACCTTGACCTCAGTCCTATAAAAAGTTTGTAGGCAGATCTAAAAAGGCGTGTGTGAGTGAAGTGGAGAACAAACTTGACTCAGTTCCACCAGTTCTGTCAGGAGGAATAGACCAGAACTCCAAAAACCTACTGAGTAGCTTGAGAAAGGAAATTCAAAAGGTTTGACCCAAGTCATAAAATGCTATGGTGTCAGTGAGGAAGCTTGGGGGTCATTGAATGTCCAAACAGGCTGATGGTTCCAAGCACATAAAGTCCAGCAAAGCATGGCTTCTGAAGAGGTCCTATACTGAAGTGACAATTGTTGTCATTGTTAACTTGAACTCAATCACAAATCTCAACAAGCTCAACTAAGACCTGGGGATGAATGCCATCATGAGGCTGAACCATTTAATTACATCAGTCATTAGAAATGGCATTTGTGTTTTTTTAGATGGCAAAACATTTGTAATATTAGTTGAGTTCAGCTTTTTAAATTGATCTTGTTTTACATGATTTGTTCTAAATAGTTGTTGTGTATGTATATATTGTAAAAAACGTAATGTGACGTGCAGATTAAGCAATATCTGTGTTTCCATTGACCATAGAATTGGGCAATTTGACATTTAAAAAATAAATTCATTGTATGGAATCACGCCAATTTAAAAAAACTCTTTTTTGATAAAAAGTTTTGGCACAAGGATGAGGTGTGTGTTGTTTTTTTTTTTTGGCTGTATCAAAATTGGATTATTTTGTAAATGGAAACACTTATTTTTGCATCACACAAGACACATGATCAACAAGCGGTGCCACTGGTGCAAACCATGAAGAAGACGACGACAGGAAGTGGTAGAAAGATCATGGCACTGTATATTTTTTAGTGACTTATCGCCTAAACAAATTTATTCACATGTGATTGTAATTGCATTTCTTATTAAAAGGAAAAGGTGTGAGTACAAAGTTGTGTTTTTTTGTAATTAGTGGAATATAGACAAAGTTGTACACATTTGCAATGGAACTGCAGCAAGCGTTTGGTCCAATCGATTGTGAAGTCAGGACAGATGGAAACTGACATAAGAGGCACTTGATCACTGCATGTTTGCTCCGGCATACTATTAGAAATATTTGACACTAACACGGAGCAAGAGTACAAACAATGGATGAACTGAATGGATGAGGGCTGAAGTCTTTCAATTAAAAACTGTAACAGTACAAGATAGACCGCATCCAAACACTGACCAAAGACCAAAACCAAGGGAAATGACACATCAAGAACAGCACAGATGACAAATAAAGAGCAGCTTCGGGACAACAGTGAAAAAAAAGGCACAGACTAAAAAAAAACAAAAACAGCAAACATTCACGACAAGATCAACACCAGCATGTAAGAACAGACCAACAAAGCTGTGAAAGCACACATCGCTTGCGAACGATAACAAAGGATGACAGCGGTGAGGGTGGCCCTCTGTCAGCTCTTTAAAACGTCCCCACTGACCTTTTTACCATCATCATCTTCATCATCATCATCTTCCTCACTCTCAGCCTCCATGTCTGTTAAAATTAAATGAGTTGCCATCATCTCCATGTCCCATCTCATTTCTACAGAAGAACTAGAATGAAACATGACTCTGTGGAAGGAAAGAAGCCGGCTGGCTGCGAGGCAGATGCATCATGGGAGGCTGGGTGTGCGTCCTCACAGCACATCGTAGTTTAATTAGAATAAACACAGAGCTCTCAGTGAAAAAATGGTCTTGCAAATGTATTCACACCCTTTGGACTTTCCAACATTTTACTGCACAAGCAAATTCTGGACTACACTGTATTTCATTAAGATTTATGCGACAGACAAACTCACAGTTGTGTAAATTGTGTAAAAAGAAGAAAAAGGATAAATGTTGAAACGTGATTAAAATTTGTAATTGAGTTAATGATAGAAGCTGTAATTAATTATAGAAAACCATGTTTCGACAAAATAAGCAACATTTTCAATTTAAAAACAATTTTGATGCTAATTAATTGAATAAATAAACATACATATGAGCTCAACAAGAAAGATATTTATTGTTTTCAATCTATTATTTAGGTTATTCAACCATCAGATTGGTGCAAAGTGCTATCTAGGTTTTATGAACCTCTGATCGTGAGCAGAACTTCTTTAGAAATGTGGTGATCAGCGTTGGGGACGTCTGTATCGCTGCTACATTTTAGCATTGAGATGCTATTTTTGATCAGCTTCGCTGATAGGCTAACTCCTTTTAGCACAACTTGAACACAACAACAGTCTTTTCTAGCGTCCCATCAGAAAGTTTTTGAAACAAAAATGAACCCTCCGTGGGCCAAGGGAGGAAGCTTTCTCTTGCTGCTATTTGTGGATGTCGCTTGTCTGTCAGATGTACAAATGTACCAGAAACATACAAACATAAAGGTTCTACTTGGAAGAAAAGCAATTAATTGTCTTTGTAAATTTGTAACACCTTAAAATCTATGTAATTAATGAATCAAAATTAACACGTTAAAGTTCCAGCCCAATTTTTTTATTAACATAAAAAAATCTGATACTTTTTTTGTCTAATTAAAAAAAACACTCCTAAATAAAAAACAGTGCAACCAAATAGCAAATGGGCACAGCAGGCAGGTCAGAGATGAAGTGCTGGATAAATTTTAAGCGGTGTTTGGTTACAACCCATTGTCTGAAAACAAAATAGAGTTTAGCACAACTGTGAACTGACCAGTAAATGACCATCCATCTGCACTGACAGATGGTGCAAGAAGAGCATAAGTCAAAAAAGCAGCCAATAAATCCATGGTAACTCTGGAGACGGTTCTATGCAAATAACTGTTTAAAAGAATATACCATAGTTATGTTGGTATCTGCATGCTTTGATGCTTTTCTCCAGTTGATGGAGCCAAAAACAGGAGAATTTCGAATGAAAAACTTGAGACTTTGGCAGATGTTCACCAGAACATGTTAAATGGCCCAAATCTGTATTCAACTGAGAATTTGCAGCAATATTTTTCATCCAGTCTGACTGAGCTTCTTCACAAAAAAGGACTTTAATATTTTTAGTCATAAAATCCCAATGAAATACATTGAAGCTGCTGGTTGTAGCGCTTCATTTTTCAAGTAACAAACCAAAAGATAGGGGCTGCTCTCGGATGAAAACAGACTATTTCTTTCGTATCTTAAAAGTGCTCTGTGAGAAGGAATTTCAGCGAGAAATCCCGGTCTGCTTTCTAAGCCATGGCTGGGATCTTTGGTCCCAGAAAATGTTTTTAAGGACCTGAATGCCAAACATGTCAATACAGCCTTTTAATTTCCCTCTGCGCTTCTGTCTTAATTGGCGTTCAGACCTTCTGAGCTCATCTGGGAGGTCTGTTCATTCCTGAGGCATCCCTGATGAGATGCAGCGGTATGAATGTAAAGACATCTGAAGTTCCACTCCGGCTAAAAGGTTAAGATAAACACACATGAGCCTTGTGAAAGCAACTGATCATTACAAAAACCCCACAAACATGAAATTGTTTTGTGTCTCAGCCTTCTAAGGACGGCTCCGTCACTGAACCTTTCCAGAACGACAGCAGTGACTCATATTTGCAAGGATAGATGTGAAAACAACTCCACAGATTGGGACAAAAAGCATTTTAATTTGAGTCCTGAAGGCTCTGACATTTTGTGTCTTCCTGCAGATAATGCAGCATCACAAATCCCAAAGTAAATGATTGTCCTTTTTTTCCTTTGACTGTCACAGCTGAGCATCTTTCATGTGGATTTCTGAGTCTATTGTCTTTGTGTCATACCTCCCGTGTTGTTGCTAGGAGACACTGGTTCATTGCTCTGATTGGCAGGCTGGTCAATTAGCCTCTTGGTGTCAGTGGTGTTGGCGGGTTTGTGAGATTTCTTGTTTTTGATGAGGATTTTGCCCATCAGCTCCTGAGGACTGGGCAGAGGGACGCCCGCCTCCAGCTGCAGACACGGAAAAAGTGTGAGGAAAAAAATAGCGAAAGAGAACGGCGGTCAGTGCAAGGTTACTTTCAAAATCACAGCATGAAACAATGTTCTGCATTTTCCTACAGGGTATTTGTCCAGAGGATCGATCAGCAATGCTTCTCCGAAAATAGAGCGACAATATTCGGCCATTTTTGCCTGCTGCTTCAAGCTGGAAAACACATAAAGAAATGTATTTACACATTTTATTTCAACACTGACATATTCTACGTAAACAGGATAATACATTCACCAGTCAGTTTAGCTGGTACACCGGTTAAAAAGCAGATCAGTTCAATTCAAAAACAATTTATCTACACCAAAAGAAAATTAAATGTCATAACTCATATCGTCCAAGTGTCTTAAAATATGCTGTGGGCATAAAGTATCTGGAGAAGCAGTCAGTCTTACAACGGATTTGAAGTGGCCTCTGACTGAAGACTGATGCTGTATGACAATCTCATGGCTGTCATGACATGCTAACAGATTCAAATCTAGGCAGCAGAAACAATATTCCACACAAAGACAGCAGCTGCGTTTCTGTTACCAACGTGTGCAAAACCTTTGCAATTAAATAGGAAGCACAATTAAAATCACAATTTAATAAGTTTGTTCACGCAATAAGTCACTAAAAAACATGTCATCATCCTCCAACTTGTTCCTGTCATCGTCCTCTTCATGGTTTGCGCTATCTGCAACCTTGGGCTGCTGACCATGTGACACGTGCTGACAAGCACTGCTAATCCACCTCATTTGCCTTTGCCACTCCTCTTTAAATCTCTGTAATGCTGTATGGCTAGAAAGGCTGGACATTGGATCCAAAAATTAACCAACCATATGGTGGTATCGCAATGCAATTTGGCATCTAGACATGGTGAAGGGAACTTTAAAAGAGAGTTTTATGATGGGGAAGAACAGGATTTAACATGACAAAGACTCTATTGTAATCCAATGCCAAACACCTCTGATAGGTTTTCTAACCTATTGTTAAATCTATCATAAAGCACGAGCTGCAAGCAAGATAGGAAGGTGTATGGAAGAAAAACTGGCTGGTGAGTGTATGTGTTAATAAAGTCCTTACGAGTCGACGTGGTTTTCAAATGAAAGTATGACAGGAAAAGGTGAAGTCTTAAAGGCGCATTCTGCAATGGCTTCAATCACCTCCTACAAAATAAAACAAACCAAAAAAAAATCATCCTTTAGTTGATTTGTCACATATGCATTTCACAAATAGGATATGCAGGAAAACAGCCTTAACAAGTTCTAACATGGATTAGATTTCAGTGAAGCTGACTCAATTGCTTTAATATCAAATCTGTTTAAGATGTTGGTTGGAACCCAGCCAGCGTTGGTGCATTGCCTGGCAACAAGAGACGTGACTGAGACTTAGCCTGACAAGTCAGTCACATGCTGGCTGCAGCCAGCAACATGCTTTTAGGGACAATTCTGGCTGGAAATTTAATCACTTGGCAAAATTGGCAGTGCTGATTTAAACTGGTTGATTTCCTGGCATGATGCTTTACAAGAACATTGATATAACTTTATCGCATTTCGACACATCACAACCATATTATTAGGATTTCTTAGGAGCTGGACCAACACAAGGTAATGTTGTGTTGATCCAGCAATCACAATTAAAGGTAATGTTTAATTGCAAAGGAGAATAAAAATAAAACATGATTTCCAAACCATTTCACTGACCTGAATCTTAAAACAAATGCCTGCTATACAAACTTTAAAAGCATTACATCAGAATTATGCTCTCACTTCTGAAGGTTCATCATATAGGATTTCAGTAAAAACATCAGCTTGTGGCTGTATGTGGTTGTAAAAAATTAACATGTAGCAGTAAAATTGTCAACATGTTACAGATTAGGGCTTTAGGCAGGGCATTCCAGAAGACTATTGTTAGCCTCCTGCTTCGACTATTATAAAATTTGGGTGTTACAACAAGATGATGACCCCAAGCATGAACGGTTAATGATAAATGATAAATTTCTGGATAGCTTTTCCAAAACTTTGCCTTCAACCCTGTCTAAAATTTGCATAATATGCTTAAATTTCCCATGTCTTGAAATCAATAATGAAGCTGTAGTTAATGGATGCGCTGAAGTATGACAAATTTCCGCTGACAACATTTAAGACGTAGCTTTTATCTCACAGTTTCAAATAGTGGCTGACAAACCTTAAAGGAGATTTCAGAGGTCATGGTGAAGCCATGAGTTATGACCGGCTCCTCCTCAGCGGTCCGCCCTTTCCACACGTCTAGTTCCACACAGCGACAACCAGCCAGCAAAACCTGCCGGTACATCTCCACCGAAGAGCTTCCTGCCAGCTGGCCCGCTGAAACACACGTAGAAGGAATATAAACAGAAAGAAAACTGTGACAGCTTGTCGTCGACCCCAGGCAGCCAGACCCACCATACTGTTTACCTAAGATAAAATACAACACTTATGTTAGGGAAATTAGAAATCATGACTAATGACAACAAACTTCTAAAAACAGGTGGAATGTTGGACAAAATGAAAACATACTAGAGATTTTAACTCCTAAGAGCTGAAAA